AATCGGCCCTAAATAATAAATATTTTTAATACGATTATTGGCACATTGAATGTTACACTGGTCACTAATGACTACTACTAGAATCAATGTAATAAAGAATATATATAAAATTCATAATTAATAATAATATATGTAACTGTCTTTCTATCTCTGGTGTATGATTAAAATCTACACAACAATCTAAAATAAAAAGCGCAATATAAGTAAATAAATTTTTTGTTTTTAATAACATAAATTCAAAAATATGTAGACAAGACGAGCAAATTACATCTTGCATTCAACAAATTCAATTGAAATTCGCAATAAATTTATTAATAGTTTTTATAGATTAACATCTTTATAATATATGATGCTTGATGGTAGCATCAAATTATTAAAATTGCTTGTCAATTTAATTCGCGATTACTAGAGTAGTTTTAATTGCGTTTATTTAGTCCGGAAAAACAATTCGACGCACAGTTTGAAAAAGACTACAATATGGTATATATGCAAGTACATATATATAGGATATATTAGTAATTCAAGATTGAATTATTTAAAGCAACGAAGATCCAACTCCGACCGTAATAGGCAGTTACATTCTAGTATTAATTGAGAAAAAGATAAATTTTATTTCAAAAGTCAATTTTATTAAAAATTATTTAAATTTTTAATTACTATGATGACTCTTTTTATGTTCCGACTTTTTGATGACCGGGTTTCCCATGGAGTAACTTTTTCGGAAAACAGACTATTATTCTAACCTCAAACCGACTTTTAATTAAAAAATTGCATTCATTATTTTCTGTTACAATAAAAAGTACATCAAAATTTTATTTTCTTAGGGTGCCGTCACATGCGGCGTAACTTGCGTAAGCGTAACTTGTGCCGACCAATCATATCATTTCACTTGAACATCAGTTTCTGTATAGTCACTTCATGCTTTTTACGCTATTTTGTTGTTACGCCGAAACATGATAGAGCCACCATGTGTCGAATCTAATTTCTGGCACATTTTACCTTATTCTGTCTGAAAAAATGCACAAGGGTTTCGATTTTGCAACAGTACAATTAAAAAAGTTGTGCGCCCCTTTGCATCGCGTGAAAAGTCGAAACCCATGTGGAACAGTACAATTATAGAACTCATTTTACCTCTGTGGTAGATTTCCTAACCTCAATAGTCATCAACTTTAACGCTTAATATCTCAGATCACAAGACAGAACGACGTTTTTTTTTTGCCAGATTCTTTTGTTGCAAAAACGTGTCGAATAAGCCTAAGAGTGGTCTCACAAAATTTTCTAATTTTAATAATTTATTCGATCATCCGCTCATATATACGCGATGGAAAGATGCCGGTTCCCCATGAGTCGTACTTTTCGAGTTGCGTAGGTTACGAAAACCAATCGTAAATTCGTTTAGCATTTCTTTGGAGTGTACAACAGAAATTCTAATCAGCAATTGGTTGCATTAGTTCCGCATTTCTCTAATCTTCCGCGAAATACGCCCAATGTGAATGCCGGCTTTCAGAATAGCGTATTCTAGTAAATAAAAAATAACGTATTCTAGTAAATTACTAGAATACGCAGGTTACGCTTATGCAGGTTACGCCGCATGTGACGGCACCCTTACAGATTCTTCTACTATATCATAATTATCTTTTTTCATAAAATGTTTAAAATAAATTTTCCGATTTTTCACAATTCCGGAAAAATTGGTTCATGGGAAACCGAATCACGAAAATTTCGGACCGACAAGTAGACAAGCACGCAATTTTGTATATCTCCAACAATAATCATATATGTAATGGAAACAATAAATACTTATATATTAATCAATATTTATCGAAAAATTATTTATTAATAATTATTTTATTAACAATTATTAATTTTTAACCGTAACGAACTATGACGAACACAACGCGTATATCACTGCGCGTGCTAACTTGCCAAGACACTGCCGTGTCCAGCCGTATCTTCTAATTCTAGTCTAGTATTTTCCGGTTTAGTACTTTTCCGAGATTCCGTTTTCCGAAATCCGACTGTCACACAACATGGGACAGCACCCTTATACTTAGTTCTATTCCAAACAAATCAAAACCCATATGGACAGAGGAGTATGTAGACAGTAAAGCTGGAAACACAATAGATACAGGCAATAGGGACAGGCAACAGGGAATAACGAGCCGTCCAATCAGAGCTTTGGGGTATAAGTTCAATATTATATCCCAGAGCTCTGATTGGACGGGTCGTTATTCCCTGTTGCCTGTGCCTATTACCTGTGTCTATTGTGTTTCCAGCTTAATGCTTAAGTTCGGAGCGGCTACGCCACCCCGAACAAAATAAATATAACATATCCTAGCTGCTTGGAGCCTAACCGCTTAGAAGTTACAGCGTAGACAGTGTCCGCTTGGAATATTCTTAACCCATGAAGATTTTTCTCACACCCCACATGCTAGATTCACACTGCATCCGATGTGCGTCGTACGACGCTCTGCAACCAATCAGAAAACAGGATTCCGATGATACGAAGCAAAATCCATCGGAATCCTATTTTCTGATTGGTTGCAGAGCGTCGTACGACGCACATCAGATGCAGTGTGAATCCAGCAACAGTCTTCACGGATTAAAAATATTCCAAGCGGACACTTTCTACGTTTACACGGCACGCTTTACGCCGAAATTATAACATCAATGTCATGAAACTGGCGAATCACGGTCATTCCATTCTTCGGAGGAATAGTTATGATTGGCCAGTTTCGTAACATCGATGTTATAACTGTGGCGTAAAGCGTGCCGTGTAAACGTAGTATATGTCTATGCTGTAACTTCTAAGCGGTTAAGTCCCAAGCGGCTAAGTTTTTATTTTGTTCGGGGCGGTGTAGTCGGAGGTGGGGGAGGTACTTAAGGCGTAAGGGCCGAAACACAAGCTTTTGCATAACGCATAACGCATAGTGCATAAGCGAATCAACTAATCAGAATCTTTCCTTTTCTCCCATTCCATGGAAAAGAAGAATATTGATTGGTTGATTCCTTTATGCACTATGCATTATGCGTTATGCAAAAGTGTGTGCTGCGGCCTTTAGACTTAAGCAGTAAACGAATTGACCAATCACAATAGAGACCGTAAGACCATACGTAAGCAATAGCGAATCCAACATGTTGCGTGCATTCGTTTATGCAGCGGTTAGCGCAGTATCAATTAATCTTTGTTCAACACTCGGCGAACAACAAGGATAAAGTAATACTTCTGCGCTAATCGCTGCATAAGTCCGGATCTACAATAGGTGATGTAAGCCTTGAGCCGTAAGAAATTGACCAATTATAATCGATTGCGAGGAGAATAATCGACTGTAATTCGTCCATTTCTTATGGTTTAAGGCTTAAAAATCTATTGTAGACCCAGACTAAACGAATGCACGCGTTGATTTCGTTAGGGTGGAGTCCCATGAAGCGTATTTGCCGCGTATCGCGTAACCGCGTAACCAATCAATAATCAGTAAAACGCGAAACCACAACAGCGGATCGCTTCTGATTGGTTACGCGGTTACGCGATACGCGGTAAATACACCTCATGGGACTCCAGCCTTACTGCTTAAGTCTTACATCTTAAGTTTTTCTGCCAAGGCCTTTACCCCGGATCTACAATAAGGTTTTAAGCCTTAAGCCATAAGAAATGGGCGAATCACAGTCGCTTATTCTTCTCGGATTCGACTGTAATTTGTCAGTTTCTTACGGCATAAGGATAAAACACCTATTGTAGATCCGGACTTAAACTTCTCAAACTTATTTCTTTCGTTTAAATTTTTACAAAAGTTCTATTAAACATTTTTTCGTAAATGTACGAAATGTAACATAACCTAAGTTAAAATTATGTATTTCATGTAAATTCACAACATTTGATATGCATAATTGTTCTCTATATTTTATATTATTATTATTATTAATATACATATACATTTACAAAATGATAAACATTAAGGGTATATCCACACAACTTGCATAGCCGCATAAACGTATGCATAAAGAAAATTATCTAATCACATTTCTCCTATAGAGACGCACGTAAAATATGATTGGATAATTTTCTTTATTCATACGTTTATCCGACTATGTAAGTTTGTATGGATATACCCTAAGGCTGGAATCCTACGAGGTATATTTACCGCGTATCGCGTAACTGTGTAACCAATCAGAAGCGATCCGCTGTTGTGGTTTCGCGTTTTACTGATTATTGATTGGTTACGCGGTTACGCGATACGGGATAAATACACCTCATGGGACTCCAGCCTAATACATTCGATTATACGCGATTTATTTCACCCGGCATAAACTGACATGCATACATTCCACGAATGTATGTATGGCCGTGGTCTGATTCATGCTGACAACGCTCATGAGCATCGTTTGTCTTCGTTTAACATTTGACAAACAACAAAGATGAAATGATTTTTAAGCGTGCGCGCGTGAATCGGACCGCGACTTATGTATGCTCGCCGAGCAAATAAGCATAATTGGTTGTTACTTATAGATCCAATATGATCCAATCAATCATATTCAATCACTCTGTAAGCATGCTTAGCCTCTTTGCAACAGTTGAGTGAGCGTTCGCTGCTATTGATTGTGTTCAGCAGAACGTTTGTTTTGCAACTGTTGAAAGTTTTCTTCGCGCTGATTAAGTCTAGAGTCCTAGATTTATCAGAGAGGCGTAACCGGCTTAAGTCAGTATGACAAAGGTGCTAAGGAGAGTACTAAACATGGCCGACATGCTATGAAACTGCCTTTAAACTATGTCAAACAAGGGGTGTTTACGATAATTCGAGTTTGAGTTAGTTCCATTTTACGATAGACTCAACCATCTAATATCTTCATGGTTCATGACAACTCAATGCTGTCCGATAAATCGAGTAGAGTTGAGTAGAGTTGGCGCAGTAGAGTGCACGTGCTTGCGAGATCTATTAATTATAAGGTAAGAGAGTCGTATTAAATATGAAAGAATTATATTAGAAAATAATGAGTTATTAAATTTAATGAGAATTGCAAGTATAAAATTGTAGTTACAATTGTGAACGAGTATTATATATCTATGAAAATGGGAAATTCGAATATTCTAACCTATTATTCTAACCTCTTTTCACGTAATTTGTGTCTACAAAATAATAATTTATCTGTTTAAAATGTAATATAAATACCGTATAGAATAGAATAGAATTTGTGGACATTGGTTTTTTTTTTTTACTTTTTTTACTTTAGTTACACTAGCAATACCAGTGGTATTAATACAATCCCATAGAAGAAGGCAGGATAATTTTAATCCGTACAGCCAAGGAAACATTTGTGGAAATTTTTTACACTGATTTCCGATTCTTTCCACGTTGGAACATTTCTGCTGGTAGTGTAATGTACATATTTTATTTTTACAACACACTTTGTAATATTTCACAGATTTGGCTTGCTGTTATGTTCACAATGAAAGAAAAGCCCTTAAATGAAGTATCTGATAGTGGTATGTATATAATTTGTTGACATAAAAATATATATTATTCAAAATTATTTCAAATAATGAATAATTATTGTACATTTTTTCAAATTACAGATGTAACGAATTGCAGAATACAATGGAATGATGCAATGGTGAAACTGTTACTGGCAGAAATAAAAAAGCACATTCCATCTTTTATGAGTCCAATAAATAAGCAAGCATGGAAAAATATTGCTGCGTCCATAAATGCTCATGGTTACAATTTGTCTGCAGACAATTGCTATGTTAAATGGATCGGATTGAAAAAAAAATATAAAATATTAAAAGATGCGAATAATAAAACGGGCGCGGCAAAACAATCCTGGGAATATTTTGATATCATTAACGAAATGTTAATGAATAAACCAGAAATTGCACCATTATCCATTGCGTCAAGTTCACGTGGTTTTCAACTCAATCAATCTGATTCAAATTCGAATAAAGAAATGGGCGAGACAAGTTCTAGTACCAATGGTGAAGAAAACGAAAATGTTGAAATGCATATTGAATCGACTACCTCAGCACAGAATAGAACAATAAGGAAAAGAAAATCGCAAACACCTACTTGGGTTGAAGATTTAATTGCACAAAGACAAGGACATCACGAAAGAAATTATGCCCAGCGAGAGCGATTATTGCTATTATTAGAAAAATACATAAATAAGTGAAGTAATATTGCTGTCGTACTTTAGCCGTGAAAAATATATCAACTTTTTAGTTGATATCTTTTTAGCGGCTACTGTACATACCACCTAATTGAATGAAACTTGCAGTTGGCTCATACCAAAAAGTGTTGCGTGTAGTATTGGAAAGATTTTTGAAAGGTAAGATCAACGATATGACGAATTTCATCATATCGACAAAAAACCGCATTTTACATTTCACGTGATTTTTATTTTTATTCTTATTTTTCTTTATTTACTTCATTTGCTTCTTATTTTTCTTTACTTATTTTCTGTATTTTTTTATATAATCCCATTTAGTACGAGCTAACTGCCCAAAGTTTTTTTTAATGATTTCTAATGTCTTTTGGCACTGCATGCCAAGTTTCATTCAATTATGTTAGATTCTAAGGAAGTTACGTTTGAAAAATTTGATACATTTTAGGCGGCTACTGTAGATACATAAGATGTGATAAAAAATGTGATATTAAATTATATATTAATATGTAATAGCTTTTTCTATTTTTATTTTATAAAAATTTTTTTTGTTATACTAGTTGTACACACACACGCATATAAAGTTAAAGTTATGACTGAAAGAGTTTATTTTCAGGAAAATTATTGTATTAGTTATCACACATTTATAGTTCCTAAGTTGTGTTCGTCATAGAAATATAAGTATATAAAATAATTGAAATGCGCACATTTAAAGTTACATAATATAATATATGCATTAACAGTATTACAACTTGTATACTTTTCCCTATAATACATTATATACAAATACGATAAAATGTATAATAACATTTTATTACAAATAACAAATATTTATACAATATTATAAGATTGTGTTTTACAATAAATGAGAAATTTCATCTCTTTTTTCTGCACCGTTCATAAATACAACTTCGTTATTAATTAGCATTTCCATGGGATTAAGTTCTATTGGTTCATCTTCTATAGGTGCATCCTCATTTTCTATACATATGTTATGTAAGATACAACAACTAAGGATAACCAAGGGAATCATTTCTGTATTATACATATAAACGTATTTTAATTTTCGAAATCTTGCTTTTAGAATCCCAAATGTACGCTCAATGACTACACGTGTTTTTGAGTGGTTAGTGTTAAAATTTCGTTGTGTATTATTTAAATGACCATTATCTCGATAAGGTGTTAACATATATCTTGATAAAGGATATGCTGAATCACCTAACAAATGGTATTGATTTTGAAAGTATCTATTTTCATCGTTAGTTATTAATTGTCTGATATCACTTAAACGCCAAACTCTAGCATCATGAACACTACCACATATACCCGTAAATACATCTATAAATCGTAATTTATAGTCACAAATGCCTTGTAGTACTATCGAGTGGAAACCTTTACGGTTAATATAACTATCTGAATTTTCAATTGGTGCGTTTATAGCTATATGACAGCCATCAATTGCTCCAATTGTCCCAGGGAAGCCACTTAATTGACGAAATTCACGTTCAAAATGTACCATTGCATGAGGTTCAGGCCATTTAATGTACCTCTGAGCGTCTGCAGTGAGTACCATCATAACTTCAAATATAGTTTTCCAAACGGTATCTTTGGATACTCCAAATCTGTCTGCTACTGATCTGAAAGTATATATGCCAACTTTTGTTAAAAAGAAAAATAAAATAAGAAATACAAGTGATTTCGTACAATGTACCTTCACAAATTTTTTCATGTGGCAATAAACACTAACCTGTAAACTTCCTGATTACCGAGGCACCATAACGTTATAGCAATTTGTTTATCAGGAGACATTTTTGCAGCACCAAGCGCGCGATGTAAATAAGGTCCAAGGTTTTGTACTAATCTTTCATAAGTATTTAATTCTAATCGGAAATGTGACTTAAAATCTGGAAAAAAAATAATATTAATGTTATGCATTACAATTCATAAAAAAAAACACCTGCAAATGGTTATAATAATAAAAAGTAACATTTCTAAATCTTGTTTCACCTGTTAAAGAATATGTCAACACAACAGTTTCAAAAAAATTTGGGATCTTAGGATGATGCTGACGTTCAGGTGGAAGGTGATAGATAATATCATCGTCATCTGATGGATCATCAAACAATAAATCCAATATTCCTTGTACATCCATTTCTTGTCTGAAAATATTTAACGATTACCATTACCATCACTATTAGTACCATTAATGTAATTGCCAGAAATTGTTCTAGGATTATATTTGTATCGATGTTTTTCAATGTAAGCTACTTCGTCGAATGTCGCTCTTGGAATTACTGTAGGTTCGTTGAAGCTTATGTGGATTACAAATATAAATAGTAAAGCTCCAATCACTAGTATTGCTGGTGTACCGTATAATTAATGCCAGATAACTGTAAAAAAAGAAAACCAATGTCCACAAATTCTATTCTATTCTATACGGCATACGGTATTTATATTACATTTTAAACAGATAAATTATTATTTTGTAGACACAAATTACGTGAAAAGAGGTTAGAATAATAGGTTAGAATATTCGAATTTCCCATTTTCATAGATATATAATACTCGTTCACAATTGTAACTACAATTTTATACTTGCAATTCTCATTAAATTTAATAACTCATTATTTTCTAATATAATTCTTTCATATTTAATACGACTCTCTTACCTTATAATTAATAGATCTCGCAAGCACGTGCACTCTACTGCGCCAACTCTACTCAACTCTACTCGATTTATCGGACAGCATTGAGTTGTCATGAACCATGAAGATATTAGATGGTTGAGTCTATCGTAAAATGGAACTAACTCAAACTCGAATTATCGTAAACACCCAAGATAAGACGTATAGGATAATGTGAGATAGAATGTATAGGATAAAATGAAATAGAAATATGTCACTAGTACTATAAATGGCTGCTAAGTCACGCAATTGGTCAGATTGCAACAGCGAATCAGAATGCATAACACCTGTTGCGCCTCTCTGATAAATCTAGGGCCGGTATTCATAGTCGGTTCTTATTTTAAGACCGTCTTAAGTAATAGACCTGTTCTTTTTGGCTGAACTTTTGTACCAGTTCATCTTTCTTCCTTTTCTCTCCAGGAGTAAAGAAGAGGAAGAAAGATGAACTGGTGCAAAAGTTCAGCCAAAAAGAATAGGCCTATAGTCTTAAGTCGCTAATGCGGCCTTCTAATTGGTTCATGACATCTTAAGATTGTACTTAAGACGGTCTTAAATATAAAGGCCCGTCTACAATACACGGAGTAAGAAGTAAGAGTAAAAAATTGACCAATCACAGTCGAATGTGAGAAGAATAATCGACTGTGATTGGTCAATTTCTTACTCTTACTTCTTACTCCGTGCATTGTAGACGGGCCTTAAGATCCGACTATGAATACCGGCCTAGGACTCTAACTAAGTCATCCTTTTAGATCAAGAGGAATGGTGCTATTTCAGCAGACAATAACTACGTTTACACGGCACGCTTTACGCCGAAGTTATAACATCGATGTTATGAAACTGACCAATCACAGTCATTCCATTCTTCAGAGGAACAGCTGTGATTGGCTAGTTTCATAACATCAATATTATAACTTCGGCGTAATGCGTGCCGTGTAAACGTAGTAATTGGCTGCGTTCAGCAGAAAAAGCAGCTTTGCAACTGCTGTAAAATTCTTGAATATTATTGGTCTTAGTTCCTTATTGGATCTAAATGTATAAACCAATCATATTCAAGAATTTTACAATAGTTGCAAAGCTGCTTTCTCTGCTGAACGCAGCCAATGGTCACGTTCAGCAGACTCAACTGTTGTGGAGCAGATCCGTCAGCACTCATTGCTATTGGTGTATTCTTCTAGATCATCCAATGGCAGCGAGCGCTTACGGATCCGATCCAAAACAGTTGAGTCTGCTGTATGTGACCAATCATAAAACGGTTGCAAAACTGTTGTGTTCTGTTGAACGCAACCATTGATGTATTCTTCCAGATTTAAAGTGCTGATTGGATGATCTAAAAGAATATATCAATAACAGCGAGCGCTCATTCAACTGGTAAGTCCGCTGAATGCATCCAATGCACAGTATATACAGTAGCGCAACTCTAATAGCTCTTCTACAATAAGCCGCAAGTCAGAAGTTCTAAGCGATCTTAAGTCATAATCGATGAAGTTGGCGAATAGCCAACTTGAACGACTTGGTTAAGACTGGTTAAGACTTCTGACGTTCTGACTTGTGGCTTATTGTAGAAAGCCCATCACGATTTCACCGTGGATAAAAATAAAGTGCACATGCGCGAGCGAGGTATGTAACCAATCAGGGCACTGATATTCCATCTCACTTCTTCTCTTTAAGTTTGTTTTTTTTCTCTGCACTAGTGAGCAGTAGTGCTGCACTGAACTATCATATAGCGTTTT